ACACACAAAAAAACACACAATCTTACTTAAATCATAACTTTCACTAAAATCCAAAGAATCCATTTCAAGACAAAAGGTTCAATTTGTTGTGTTATAGAGATTTACAATGTCTGGACAACTAAAATTGTGATTTCTGAAATAAATGTAAAAAATGTATCCACAAATTACCTACAAATTTACTTAAGTAAAACTAAATGTGGAAACCCCTTTTCAAGATTTTATTTTTTGGTATATTTGAGTGTAATTTTGACACCTGTTTTTATAGCACACTAGAAGTTTTTATGGATTCAGTCAGTGAACAGAGATTGTTTTGTTATTTATATTTCAGTCATATATTTAATTCCACAAATTGCCCATGTACGACACTGGCCAGTTCTTACTTGACATTTTCCTTTTGTAATGTGAATTCAGCTGGTATTCATGAAAGCCCTTAGGGTAGACACAGTCTCGTCAAGCCTCTTCGCTTTTCCCTCTGCTCTACTCCGGTAATCCTTAAAAGAGAAACGGAAACACTTAATGCGGGGTCAGTCCACAGCTCCGGGAACGAAGGCCTCTCTAAATATGCCTGGTGCTCCACAGCTGAAGAACGGATTCAGGCCTGGGATTGTTAGGGATTGTGCCAAAGCAGGAATGACTGTAGATGATCAGGCTGACTCAGAAGTTGACGTTATGGAACAGGTCAACATTGAAGCCGCTGGAGCATGTCTTTGTACCTTCTGGAAACTCTCAAGATGCTGTTATATAATTTTTTAACCACATTTTACAATAGCTATATGCGACCAATAAATTAAAATATTAGTTTGAGAAAGTTGGGTTACTTTTAGTTAAATATCTAGCTAGCTTTTTATTGTCTATTGGTATAATGAATCATTTAAAATAAAACATACAGTATGTGTAATAAGAAAGTAAATGGATTCAATCGTGATTTGGTGTTCATAAATGCTACGACCATAATACAGCGGCTTTAACATCAAGCTGTTTGTGATATTCAAATGAAAAAGTTAATCTTAAGATAATGTAGGCAGAATTCAATAGGTTCACTGATATAAAAACAGCTTGATATAAAAACCTTTGAGCCAGGTCACAGTTTTTCGTATTGTGAAACATCCACAAACGAGGTTCTTCTACCCCCAAATACGTAGTGGCCAAAAGATACATTGGCGAGATCAAACATAAATATGCTTGGCAGGCAGTTAATCTGTCAACTTCTTAGTGTTATTCATTCTCGGGTTAGTCTGTAGTCAGTAATGTAGTAACGTCTCTGCTGTGACCACGGCCCATAAATTTTCACAGTTTAGAGCTGGCTGTTAATATAGAGCTGTGTAGCAGTAGAGTTGGTAATGGTTTCCATAAGCCAGTGTTGGAATTCAGTAAATCAAAGCCAAGGTAAAGGCTAACAGCTAGCACCCCATATTGTCTCTCCTGTCAAGATTTCACTCATGAGGGTTGTCTCCAAACCCTCTCCGGTTTCATTGCGGACTTCACCAAAGACAGCATAAAGGATGACAGCATAATTAGCATGTTGTGTTCAGAAACACTGTTTTGCTTTGAGCGAAGGTGGCTGCTTTGCTTCCAGAAAAACGTGGTGACTGTTCAACTTCATCGATGCAACGATTCTGATTTTTTGACAGGACTGGACTGGAGGTCATAAAACGAACATGCAAGCGCAATAAATCTTGCACACCAGTGGGTTTTTGCTACCCCTGAAAGACATGGTACAGCCAAGTTGGATGTTTCATGCTTAGCGAGGGACTAGCAGGTCTTGCCAAAGTCCACAGAAACTCTTGCCAGAGAGCAAAAGAAGGGTACCTGGTCTGCAATCTCACCAATGAACATTATATCTAGAAGGCCACAAACCTGGTGAAAACCCAGTGGAGCAGAGTCCTACGCTCAGATTTCCTGCAGAAAAAGCCCGTTTTCTACTGCCGTCTCCACTGCAGACATGAAAGCAAACATACTGAAGGGTTATGCAAACATCTCAGTCATATTGAGCTTGTTCAAAATTATGAACACGCCTAGATGGTCAACGTGTGAAATGTGGCACGCTACGGTGTCACTTCGCCTTAATGAAAGGGAAACAGGAGTTTGTTTGGTTTAGAAACTTGACAACCCTCATACTTCCAAGTTTTGTTGATTTTCCATGAATCAAACTCGTTTTTTCCTCAGACACCTTTATAGGCATTGGGAAGTCTTGAAGTACACTCACCGGCCACTTTATTAGGTACCCCATGCTAGTAACGGGTTGGACCCCCTTTTGCCTTCAGAACTGCCTCAATTCTTCGTGGCATAGATTCAACAAGGTGCTGGAAGCATTCCTCAGGGAGTTTGGTCCATATTGACATGATGGCATCACACAGTTGCCGCAGATTTGTCGGCTGCACATCCATGATGCGAATCTCCCGTTCCACCACATCCCAAAGATGCTCTATTGGGTTGAGATCTGGTGACTGTGGAGGCCATTTTAGTACAGTGAACTCATTGTCATGTTCAAGAAACCAATTTGAAATGATTAGAGCTTTGTGACATGGTGGAAGTAGCCATCAGAGGATGGGTACATGGTGGCCATAAAGGGATGGACATGGTCAGAAACAATGCTCAGGTAGGCCGTGGCATTTAAACGATGCCCAATTGGCACTAAGGGGCCTAAAGTGTGCCAGGAAAACATCCCCCACACCATTACACCACCACCACCAGCCTGCACAGTGGTAACAAGGCATGATGGTTCCATGTTCTCATTCTGTTTACGCCAAATTCTGACTCTAACATCTGAATGTCTCAACAGAAATCGAGACTCATCAGACCAGGCAACATTTTTCCAGTCTTCAACTGTTCAATTTTGGTGAGCTCTTGCAAATTGTAGCCTCTTTTTCCTATTTGTAGTGGAGATGAGTGGTACCCGGTGGAGTCTTCTGCTGTTGTAGCCCATCCGCCTCAAGGTTGTGCGTGTTGTGGCTTCACAAATGCTTTGCTGCATACCTCGGTTGTAACGAGTGGTTATTTCAGTCACTGTTGCCCTTCTATCAGCTCGAACCAGTCTGGCCATTCTCCTCTGACCTCTGGCATCAACAAGGCATTTCCGCCCACAGAACTGCCGCTCACTGGATGTTTTTTCTTTTTCGGACCATTCTCTGTAAACCCTAGAGATGGTTGTGCGTGAAAATCCCAGTAGATTAGCAGTTTCTGAAATACTCAGACCAGCCCTTCTGGCACAAACAATCATGCCACGTTCAAAGTCACTCAAATCACCTTTCTTCCCCATACTGATGCTCGGTTTGAACTGCAGGAGATTGTCTTGACCATGTCTACATGCCTAAATGCACTGAGTTGCCGCCATGTGATTGGCTGCTTAGAAATTAAGTGTTAACGAGCAGTTGGACAGGTGTACCTAATAAAGTGGCCGGTGAGTGTATGTGTGCATGGTTTATGAGCTCACAGAGCGCTATATATGTTATGGAAGTTCTGAAGCAGCTTTTTAACACGCGAACTACATATATGAATTATATTAAAATATGACAAACCTAAGGGTAATCCTGAAAGCGCTGTTAAGGTGCCAATGAAAATGTTTGTGCAATGGTTGCAATGAGCATGAGCCCGACATGAACAAAAGAGCTATGTGTAGAGTGACCATGCTTGAGGGTAAGAGCTATAGTAATTAAACTGTTTGCCCAGCAATGAGCTGTTTCCCTTTGCCCAGACTGGAACCCCCCGACAGCTTCAAAGAGCTGACAGGCCTGAAAATACCAGTCATGTGGTGAACGGATGAGCTGGGGCTGTAACTAGAGCAGAAGGGCCACAGATTTCCAGCCATAGTTTTCACTCTTCACCACACGTGACTTTAGTAGTTTGCCTTGAATTTTGAACATATCTTCTCAGGTGAGAAGATTCGGTAGAATTTAAAGGGATAGTTTACCCTAAAATGAAAATTAAGTCTTCATTTACTCACCCTGGTGTTGTTCTAATGCCATATGGCCTTCTTGCACTCCATTTAATGGCATTGAATAGCGACCAGCATTAAGATTTCTTTTTTAAAGATGCACAATTATGACCGAATTATCCCATGCGACACATGCTGTATATTCCAAGTGTTCTGGGGGTATATGATAGGGTTTGATGAAAACAAATTGTATGTATTATGTAACAAAAATGTTTAAAAATCTCCTTTTGTGGTCCATAAAAGGAAGAAGGGCCTACTGCATTAGAACAATACCAGGGTGAGTAAATTCATTTTAGGGTCAAACCTTCCTTTTAAGATTTTAGTAAATTGCTTTAAAATAAGCAGAGCTTTGGCTTTCCTCAATCTTTAAAGTGCATGTTCATCAAATTTATCTTCAGCTTTTGTAATAAAAAAATTAATAAAAAAAATTATATATATATATATATATATATATATATGTATTCATGGAGAGCTATAAACAAGCACATTTGTAAATTTTGTCACCTTTAGGCCCAAAACATACTTTACACATATACTGTATGTGTACATGAGTTGTGCATGTTGCTGTGCTCTGAAATGTCAGCAGTTTGAAAAGAATCTTGTCGACTTGTTTATAGCTAGTTAACTTGAATAAAAACACATCCAGATTAATGAAAGAAACATCTGAAGGAAACTATATCACCCCCTTGAGTACTGATGTTTCTTGCCACGCCAGGTTTCACAGCGTCTCACAAGAGTGTACCTTAAGCATGTTCAGCAAGACTGCATGCCTGAGGTGCGATGGCCATGTCTACTTTTGCATACTTGCGTAAACTATGTTTCTGGCCTTATACTCAAGATGAAATGCAATGTCGATATTTGAAGGCTCTCAGCTACAGTATCATTGTTGCTCTCCAGTCAGCTGTTCGGTAGACAGTTATATTTTGGTTTAGGTGGTTGAAGGAATGCAGCGATTTGGCTGAAGAATTATAGTAATCTGATTGATACTTCCAATGAATATGAGGATAAACTCTGAGATTGCTACACATATTTGTGCTCAATTCTCTCTCTCTTTTTCTCTCTTTAGATGACTCCAGTGCTGGGAGGGAAGGTGCTAGACCAGCTGGTGAAACCGAGTACTCCACTGACCTGACAGGAAAACTGGGTAAGGTGCTACAGTCCTCTGATCCCCTTTGATCTCCTTCATTCCTGGTATTTATAATTGCTGCCCAGAAAGTAACTGAAAATATGCACTACAGCTGCCAAGATGTTTCATAAGCTGCTTTTCATGAATTGCAACTTTTTGTTTTACATTGTATTACAAATTTAAAGAAGAACATGAAAAACTAGAACTTTGAAATATCTAAATATTAGAATAAATAGAATCTAAATCTAAATAGAAGAGCTAAGCCCATTTACAATATCTAAATATTTCAAAGTTCTAGTTTTCCATGTTCTTCTTTAAATTTGTATTACAAATTTAAAGAAGAACATGAAAAAGTAGAACTTTGAAATATTTAGATATTGTAAATGGGCTTAGCTCTTCTATTTCCAGCAGTCTTTGAAAATTTCAAAAAATGTCACTGGTGTTTTCTTGTAGTATAGTAGCAGTGACATTTTATTGTAGCATAGCAGCACTGAAATTTTTTTTTTTTTGTAGTTTAGTGGCGGTGACATTTTCTTGTAGCATATCAGCTGCTGTTTTTTTTGTAGTTTAATGGCGTTGACATTTTCTTGTAGCATATCAGCTGCTGTTTTCTTGTAGTTTAGTGGCGTTGACATTTTCTTGTAGCATGACAGCTGCTGTTTTCTTGTAGTTTAGTGGCGTTGACATTTTCTGTAGCATAACAGCTGCTGTTTTCTTGTAGTTTAGTGGGGTTGACATTTTCTTGTAGCATGACAGCTGCTGTTTTCTTGTAGTTTAGTGGCGGTGACATTTTCTTGTAGCATATCAGCTGCTGTTTTCTTGTAGTTTAGTGGTGGTGACATTTTCTTGTAGCATATCAGCTGCTGTTTTCTTGTAGTTTAGTGGCGTTGACATTTCCTTGTAGCATAACAGCTGCTGTTTTCTTGTAGTTTAGTGGCGGTGACATTTTCTTGTAGCATATCAGCTGCTGTTTTCTTGTAGTTTAGTAGTGGTGGCATTTTCTTGTAGCATTCCAGCGCTGACGTTTTCTAATCTTATAGAGTTGGTGACATTTTCTTGTAGCATTTCAATGCTGCCATTTTGTTGTAGTATAGTTGCTATGCCGCTTTCTTAAAGTAGCATCGATATTTTCTTATATCGTAGTATAGTAGCGTAGCCATTTTCTAGCAGTGGTGATATTTTCTGCCACTTTGTTGTAATACACTGTAGTAGCACTGCTGTTACTAGAGTAATATAGTAGTAGTACTCGAATAGTAGTAGAGTAATAGTAGTACTCGAATGCATGAGAATAAATAAGAGTCTCATAGTCTTGCACAATATGCTTGCATGCTGTGTGCTGGAAGAGCATCAGTGATCCAGGTTTGATGTGTGGCCTTATGGAAAAACGTGACCAACTGAATGGAAACTGAGCCTGTCACAGAGTGTTTGGACAGCATGTACAGTCTGTCACCCCTGTATTTCCCCTTCAAACCCCCGTCTCCAGGCCGGCACACATGTGGCTGAATCTTCCCAGATACTGACAGGTTGCCCTGTGGTCTGAGATTGGCCCCTGGCCCACTACTCCCAGGAGTCAAGTCAAGTCAAGTCACCTTTATTTGTATAACATTTTACAATAATGCTTTACAATAAGGTTCATAAGTTAACATTAGTTAACTACCTTAGTTTACATGAACTAAGAATGAACAATACTTCTTCAGCATTTATTAATCTTAGTTAATAATAATAATAACGTTATTAAAATCAAAGGTTGTTAACATTAGTTAATGCACTGTGAACTAACAACATGAACAAACAATGAGCAGCTGTATTTTTATTAACTAACATTAACAAAGATTAATAAATACTGTAACAAATGTATTGCTCATTGTTAGTTCATGTTAGTAAATACATTAACTAATGTTAACTAATGAACCTTATTGTAAAGTGTTTCCATTTTTACAATACAGATTGTTTCAAAAGCAGCTTTACAGTGCTAACAGGAAAATAATGCAACAAAGTTTATTTCGGCTGTACAGCAGATCTAGAAGAAAATTGTGTCATAGTCCAGCTGTTGAGTGATGGTTCATTTCTGTTGTAAAAAAGTTATTAATTTAGTTCATTTATAGCCGCTCTGGAGAAAACAGTGATGTCATCGTTCAGCTCAGTTAAGTTTTCATACAACGGTGTCAATGCAGGCAGATCAATAATACTGTTGAATATTAAGTGTCCCCAACTAAGCAAGCCATAGGCATCAGTGGCAAGGAACCCAAACTCCATCGGGTGATAAAATGGGAAAAAAAAAACTTTGGGAGAAACCAAGCTCAGTCGGAAGGCCAACGAACGAACAGTGTATGATTATGATTCAGGCAGCATTATAGGTCAGAAGTCAGACACTCCTACCTCTGGAGCCCAGTGTTTGCTTTGGTAATTGCGTTTGACGAGCCAGAGAGCAGGCTATTTATGTGAAGTGTGAGGGGGAAGCATTCCATTCCCCTCTGACGGCCGGCATCTGATTTGATATTGGAGCAGCGCTAAACTCGGCAGTGTTCAAAGAGTGCCTGACCTGCTTGTTTTTGTACTGTGGAGCGTAGCAGTTTTGATGGCTGCTAGCGGGAGATGCTTAGTTCACTATTGTATTTGCTTTTGTGGTGTTTGTTCAGAGTCTACTGTGAGCAGTAACAGTCAGCAGGGAACTATAGAGTGAAACTACAGAGGAGCTGCTGTTTGCTTTGTCTGATTGCATTCATGGTGTGGTGCATTGCTCAGTAAATTTGCCCACACAAGAACTTCATGTCCGCTCTTTCATGCTTTATTTTCTTTGTAATGTTAGCGGTGTTGTGTAAATTCTGATGATAAATCAGTATTCCGCATTTCTCCCTTTATTTATTTAAGCTCTTAAGTGTGGAAAAGCATTATTCATGTTTTTTTTTTTTTAGGTATCAGATTTCCAAAATTTAAATTGGACAAATGTCATAAAAATGGGTAATATTTTTACCCCCCAAAAAATGGAAAGAACATAAAGATGGATATTAAAGGATTAATTCACTTCAAAATGAAAATTGTGTCATCATTAACTCACCCTCAAGTTGTTTCAAACATGAATGAATTTCTTTTTTCTGCTGAACACAAAGGAAGATATTTTGAAGAATGTCGGTAACCAAACATTTGATGGACCCCATTGACTTTTTTAATTTTTTTCCTACTATGGAAGTCATCAACTGTCAGGTTACCGACATTCCTCAAAATATCTTCCTTTATATTCAGCAGAAGAATGAAATTCATACAGGTTTGAAACAACTTGAGGGTGAGTTAATGATGACACAATTTTCATTTTGAAGTGAATTATTCCTTTAATATCATTTTTTTGTTATAAGAATTTTTGCCTTGTAATAAGAATTTTTATTCCCCCAAATTCTCATTACTGTAATGTTTCCAGATATTTTGAGTATTTTAAACTATTATTATTCTTAATGAAAAATATTTTTAGAATCGTTTTAGCTTTTCTTACTGTATTACGGTAAAAATTGCTGTTTTCTAATTAAGCATACCTTTTCATATTCATAACGTACTGTTAAAATACCATTGTAAATACTAAATAGTTTATAATCTTATATAAAATAAAATATTTTCTTATAAATTCTTAATCATTTCTTGAATTTTGAAGTTAAAAACGACACAGAAACAAGCTTTTAGAAATTAAAAAACTAAACTTCTTACTAAAGTAGACTGTAAACCTGACAAAACTGCTAGAAACCTGTTGCATTCAGGTTTTATGTAACTGTAGTCCAAAAAAGAAAGGTGCTGTCTATCCTTATCTTTCCTTTTTTTTTTTCTTTGTAGTGCGGCCCCGCTTCACGCAGCCAGCCAAAATGAGAAAGCGCGTGATTGCGCGTCCGGTGGGGAGCTCAGTAAGGCTGAAGTGCACCGCGAGCGGGAACCCCAGACCCGACATCATCTGGATGAAGGACAGCAGGCCTCTGACGCCCGGAGAGGTGGGCGAGGGCCGCAAGAAGAAGTGGACTCTCAGCCTGAAGAACCTCACGCCTGAACACAGCGGCAAATACACCTGTCACGTGTCCAACCGCGCCGGGGAGATCAACGCCACATATAAAGTGGAAGTCATCCGTGAGTCATTCACCTCGTCTCTGTGATGTTCTCCTGGAATTTGATGGAGCTTTTGATGACTCACTTGTATAGTGTAGACTGAAAGAATGAACATGCAGCAACAGTTTAACATTACTTCTCTCGTAGCTGGATGCTGTTCAGGGGGGTTTAACAGCTGTCTTGGCAAGAGTTTGGTGTCGGGAAAAATGAATTTAATCATTCCTAGTAAACAAGAGAAGCATTCTTTATTAGCAGCACTAATGCACTGCAGCACCAGCCATACTGTCTCAATAAATGAATGGCTTATCATTAGGAATCTATGATATTTAGGCATTTTTTTATTATTATTAAAATTTGAATTCTATATTATATTCTATCTAAATCTATATTATGGCCTCACAATTTGTCTAAAAAGATGAACAATCTTTAAATATATTCTTAAGTGGAATCTGAGTGAGTTTAAAGTTGTCAAGGTTCAGTTACCGTTTGAGTGGGTGGTTTGGTTTGGTTTGGTAAAGACTGAAAAGAAAGATTTTATCCAGTTCGATTGCTATTTGCTCCAGATTAATTTGCGGCTATGTCTGCTGACTTTACAACCACATCCTAACAGTGGGAAAAAAGTTTATCAATCTTGCTCTCGGTAGAGTCATATGTGACATTTTTTTCCTTACTCGAAACTATTTTTAGAACAGAACACAGAAAGACCACTCTGAACAGCATAGACCCACAATTGTGTTAAATACTGATTAGAAAATAAAATCTTCCTTATTTCATTATAGAGCGCACAAATTCCAAGCCCATCTTGACGGGCACTCATCCAGTAAATACTACAGTAGACTACGGTGGCACCACGTCCTTCCAGTGCAAAGTACGCAGTGACGTGAAGCCGGTCATCCAATGGTTGAAGAGGGTCGAACCGGGCGGCGAGAGCAAGTACAACTCCACTATTGAGGTCGGAGACCATCGCTTCGTTGTGTTGCCCACGGGTGAAGTGTGGTCACGACCAGACGGATCCTATTTGAACAAGCTACTTATCACTCGAGCCAAAGAGGAGGACGCTGGCATGTACATCTGCCTGGGGGCCAATACGATGGGCTACAGCTTCCGCAGCGCCTTCCTGACTGTGCTGCCCGGTCAGTTTCATTCTCTCAGACATCTCACACTTCTGCTCCACTTATAATATCAGTCAAGCTAATTATTCATGCTACTTTTTACTACTGTAAATACAGTTGCAAAAACAGCCTGAAAAAAAAAAAACATTCAGTAAATTGTTTTTAAAGTCTCTTACACTCGCCAAGGCATCATTTATTTGATCATAAATACAGTAAAAACAGTAATATTGTGAAATATATTCATATTTTAAATAACTCTTTTCTGTTTTAATATAGTTATTCCTTTGATCATTACATGAACCTTCAGAAATCATTCTAATATGCTGATTTGCTGCTCATGAAACTTTTATTATTGAAAACAGCTGTGCAGCTTCATATTTTGGAGAAAACAGTGATCGTTTTTTAGGATTCTTTGATTAATAGAGAACATCTAATTAAGAACAACATTTATTTGAATAAGATTAGATTAGAAATCTTTTGTAATTTTTTTAAAGGTCTTTACTGTAACTTTTGATCATTTTAATCCTTGCTAAATAAAAGTATTAATTTCTTACAAAAAATACTATATCTTATAATTATATATATATATTAGTTTTCATTATTAATATTAGTAGATTTATATTAATGCCTATTATTGAATATTATTAATAATAATATTATTAAAAATATACTTTATTTTGATTCATCATTAATTTTATTAAAAATGTTAATGTTTGGTTTGATTTCTAGCCTAAAAATTTCTCTTCTGATACTCGTTCTCATGTAAAGTCATTCAACCATGTCATCGTGATCATGTGACACAGGCCCTGTGATCAGATTGATGAAACAGCTTAGTACCAGGTGTAAACAGGGCAGTGATACTTGTAAAGTGGTCTATATTTGAATTCTACTGTGTAGTTTTGTTGTTCTTTACATTGTGGTTTTTACGTCTCTGTCTTCATCCAGACCCAAAGCCGCCATTCTCTCCAATCCCGTCGGTTCTGCCTCCCAGTCTTCCCTGGCCCGTCATCATCGGCATCCCTGCAGGAGTGGTCTTTATTCTGGGTACCGTCCTGCTCTGGTTCTGCCAGTCCAGAAAGCACTGTTCCTCAGGAGCCATAATCTCAGCCCAGTCCTTACCCAACGGCCCCCGGCCGGCCCCGAGAGACCGGGCGCTCGCAGCTGCTGATAAAGACTGCATCGGCTCCGTCACCTACGAGGAGTATTTGGCTCAGCAACAGCAACAACAGCTTCTGCTGGCCCAAGCTGCTCCCAAAGTCTATCCAAAGATCTACTCAGACGTTCACACACACACCCACTCGCACGTGGACGGCAAAATTCACCAGCACCAACACATCCACTACCAATGTTAGCATGTACCGAGGCCTTCATGCTTGGTTTTTCTTCACATTTTTCTTCAGTCTTTGGACCTGACATACAGCAGTGTGTTAAGCCACTGCCTCAAACAAACATTTCTGCTCAAATTCGAAAGAATAGAAAGACAATTGAGCCATGTTGTGGCAGTCTAACCAGTCCCTTTATGAACTGTGGGCAAGGCTAACGAAAAAATGATGATATTTGAGTCTGTTTTGAAATGGAGAAACGTTTCACAAAAAACACTGCTGGCAGAGCAAACACTTTCGCAGATTTGTATGGGAACAAACACACTCAAATGTATTGTGTCTTCAATATTTATCTGCTTTCAAACTGTGAAACGCTACAATATTTTAATATGATTTTTTCATACGTCCATTGACTAATCTTGTGGATGGGGCCAAAAGGATTTTTTTTTTTTTGGATTAGCACCAAATCTCAGTGAAACGTTCATATGCATGCATAAGAAAATTGTTTGCAGATCCTTCCAGTTACAGTGTATTTAGTTACATCCGATTGAATGCATGAGAGCGTACAGTATGTTGATGTTTTTGCAGGTATGGTCTACCTTGTTTCGACTTTAAGAAATAGTGTAGGTTCAGTCAATCTAGTTTTGTATCTTTAATGGAAAAAGAGAATATTAATGAGCTATTGTTATACCGTAACTAAAGATACAAAGAGATTTTGCAGATGTACGTTCTGGCAAGGGGGTTCCTTGTGTTTTTCATTAACTTTATACTTTTCTTTTCAGGCCCTGCTCTGAATAACCTGAGGTACCGCAATCCCATAGTTGCTCTATGGCCTTGTTTTTCGTGTGTGTGTGTGTGTGTGGGAGGGAAGTTGTATTATCATAAGCTTGACCACTATAATGAATACTGTGTAAAATGCCTTTGACTGCTCTTGTAATGTCTGCCCATTTAATATTTACAGAAGTGAGTCAGAGTTTTAAAAACAAACCATAGACTAAAGCTCAGACGTATTGTGGATTGGCCGTGCATGTGTTTACCGTGATGTTCATGGTAATGGGTCAATGCTGAAAGGACTGCGGGAATACACGAATGCACTTAACCCAGACATCTGACAAAAAAAAAACTTTGAAATTCATTGCCCCTGTTATTTTAACAAAGTCAGCCAAAAGAGGAAAGTGATTCTAAAGTAGTTAATTTATTTGTAAGCAATGACTTGATGCTTTGAATTGGGCATAATCTAGATGTTTTAAACCAAAAACGAGTAAATTGTGTTCCCTTAGCTGCAGTGTAAGCTATGTAGCATATATCAAGTGTTGAATATTTATATGCGCTGTTGAAAAAATAACACAACGGTCGTAATTAGTTATCTCTGTATGGACAATCTTGTACAGTTTGGCCTGTTTTTAAATTAAAAAATATATGTTTGTCACATTGAAACATTAAAATAATTTTATCATTATCATAAAATGATAAAGCTCTTGTTCACCAGGTATGAAAATGTGTTGAGTGTGTCATTTTCTGTCAATGTCATTGCCTTTAACAATCTTTTATTTGGAATTCCATACAATTTGTCTAATTTTATACCCACTGTTTGAAGTGGCAAAATATTATTATAACCTTATAAATAACTATTTTCCAATTCTCTTATGAACTATATTAATTTATATTACAATTAGTACAAAATGTATGAGATTATTTTTTAAACCGCTTATACAAGATTATATTTCTTCGAGATATCTCTTCAGACTGTATTTATAATTCAAAATGTAATATGAAAGTCATGTGAAATAAATCATATAAATACTGTAGCAGATACTCTTTAATGGTGTAACTACTTCAAAACTTTGGGTCAGTAATATTTGTTACATGTTTTTTAATATAAGTGTCACCAAATGTATTTAATCAAAAATACAGTAATACAGCAATATTGTAAAATATTTCAACTTAAAGTAACTGTTTTTATATTTTAAAATGTAGTTTATTCTTGTCAAAGCTGAATTTTCAGCATTATTTCTCCATTCTTCAGTGTCACATGATCCTTAAGAAATTATTCTAATATGCTGAATTTCTGATTATCAATGTTGAATTAGTTTGTTCTGGTTAATATTTTTGTGGAAACCATGATATTTTTTTCCCAGATTCTCTGATGAATAGAAAGTTCGAAGAAAGCATCGAAGGTGGCACCTATTGCATCCGTTATTTCTTCTTCTTCTTCCTCCTGGAGGAGGCTCCACCACCATGGAAGCCAATAGAACCGCTTGCAGGAAAGTCTGAACTGTTACCATAGCAGTTTTGGAGTCTAACTCAATCCCTCTAGCACCACCAACTGTACAAATTTGCAGAAACAAGCTTTTTCTTTGATTCCTTGGCTCATAACGATTCGATTGCACTCTATGACGAAATGTTCCATCATTAAATTTTTTCCGCCATTTAGAATTTTCCCCCAAAAAACTATTTTTTTCTAACTCCTAGACCATTGCTCCGATTTTCACCATAATTGACCCTTTTCACATTTTCAGGTTTCTCAGAAGCGGAAGTCGTCATAGTTGGGTAAAGTTCTATGGCGGTGAATGAGAGAATACATGAAATAGGGGGAGGAGTGTTGTTACACGGGGTCAGTTTGACAAGTCAGAAAAGAGCTGTGGTGATGTCATCAATATCTCGCATCACCTTTTTGAGCTCACAGTGGCATGTGACTGAGCAACATTGTAGATTGTATGACCAAAAAACTGATTTTCAGGAAAGAATGTAAAAAAGGTTATTAAAGTAGCTATTTCTCTAGTTTAATTTGATGCTTTGCATTCATGCTAACTTCAAACATGCTAAAACAGTTAGCTAAGTTATGGCAGTTTGGGATGGGGATAGTTCTACTTCAATAAAAATGTTACAACCAACCCCTTATGATGATTCCAGTTATAAATCACATCCCCTGTTAAGACAAAATCAGTTTTTTTGTTGCGCATTGAGGGATTTATTGTCACAGTGTCTGGTTGTGTTCCCTTGTTTATCACTAGAGGTCCTCGTTTTCACGGTGTCCTTCACATTTGACTTCAATTCCCAGCATTCTGTCTGTCACTGTCACTCATCAGTTCATTGCACTCAGCTGTTCCCCATAATCATTGTTCCCAGCTGTTCTGTGTTAGTCTTGTTAGATATGTGTATATATTCCCTGTCTGTGTTAGTATGTGTACGGAGTCGTTGTTAATGTCTCACACTTCTTGGTTTGTTCCTGCCTGTTCTTTGTTCTTGTTTGGATTGCTTGTATGGTAATTGACCCTTGCCTGGACTGGATTACGTTTCACGGATTACCCAATAAATTTCTCACTGCACTTGGATCTACTGTCTCTCTCGTGTGTGTCGTGACAGAATGACTCCGTCCCGATGAATAGATCCAGCAGTTCGGGATTCCATAACCCTTCTCCTGTGTATGGGGAAGGAAGGGGACCACAGAGAGGAGGTTCGCAGGTTGGGGAGGAAGCGCCTCGACTAAACATTTTTCAATGTTTTGGCTTATGGGCCCAGCAGACTGCGGAAGCAGCGGCAGCTAAGGCTTCAGCGAACTCGTCCATCAGAGATGGTGAGTCGTTTCTGGGGACTCGTCTGGCGAAGTTCTCCGGAACTCGGGGAGGTTGCAGGGGAGGAGGAGGTCGACAAATTCCACGACACCGTCCTCCGCTTTGCCATTCTTCTGATCCAGAGCCGTCGGACTGGTCCAGTACAAGATCCTCGCCGCTGGTTCCACCCCGCACAAAGTCATCATCGCGGGGCTCATCTAGCACAAGGTCCTCACCACTGGTGCCGTCCAACACAAGATCCTCGCCGCTGGTTCCGCCCAGCACAAGATCTTCGCCGCTGGTTCCGCCCAGCACAAGATCTTCGCCGCTGGTCCCATCCATCATAAAGCCCTCGCCACTGGTTTCGTCCAGCCCAAGGTCCTCACCACTGGTCCTGTCCAGTCCAAAGTCCTCGCCGCTGGTCCCGTCTAGTACTGAGGCTGCACCTCGCCATCAAGGACGGAGGAGGAGGAGAAGGGCCTCTTATCTCCCCAACACCCCGGTGGTCGTCCCTGTGCAGCATGCGGTCATTTCAGAGGCCATCCCTGTGCAGCGTGCGGTCGTTTTGGAGGCCGTCCCTGTGCAGCATGCGGTTATTTCAGAGGCCGTCCCTGTACAGCATGCAGTCATTTTGGAGGGCGTCCCAGTGCAGACCGCTGTTCCGGTGGTCCCAGTGCCGGTGGTCCCAGTGCCGGTGGTCCCGAGTCCAGTGGTCCCGAGTCAAGTGTCTGCTGTTCCAGAGCCGGAGCCAGTGTCTGCTGTTCCAGAGCCGGAGCCAGTGTCTGCTGTTCCGCAGCCAGAGCCAGTGACTGTTCCAGAGCCGGAGCCTGTGTCTGCTGTACCTGAGCCGGAGCCAGCGCCTGTTCCTGAACCAGTGTTTGTTTCTGTGTTTGTGTCTGTTCTTGTGGCTGTTACAGTTTTGGTATCTGTTCCTGAGCCGGTGTCTGTTCCTGAGCTAATTCCTGTTCCAGAGCCGGAGCCAGTGCCTGCTGTTCCAGAGTCGGTGTCTGCTATTCCTGAGCCGGAGCCAGTGCCAGTGTGTGTTCCAGAGCTGGAGCCAGTGGCTGTTCTAGAGCCGGTGCCGTCTGTTCCAGAGCTGGTGTCTGTTGTTCCAGAGCCGGTGTCTGCTATTCCTGAGCCGGAGCTAGTGCCAGTGTCTGTTCCAGAGCCTCTGCCATGGTCGTCCGAGTGGTCTTCATCACCCTGGCCGCCCGAGGGGTCTTCACCGCCCTGGCCGCCCGAGGGGTCTTCACCGCCCTGGCCGCCCGAAGGTTCTTCACCGCCCTGGGCGCCCGAAGGTTCTTCACCGCCCTGGGCGCCCGAAGGTTCTTCACCGCCCTGGCCGCCCGAAGGTTCTTCACCGCCCTGGCCGCCCGAAGGTTCTTCACCGCCCTGGCCGCCCGAAGGTTCTTCACCGCCCTGGCCGCCCGAAGGTTCTTCACCGCCCTGGCCGCCCGAAGGTTCTTCACCGCCCTGGCCGCCCGAAGGTTCTTCACCGCCCTGGCCGCCCGAAGGTTCTTCACCGCCCGGCCGCCCGCCCTGGCCGCCCGAAGGATTCTCTGTGTCGCCTTGGCCGCCCGATGGACTCTCTGTTTTGCCCTGGTCCCCGGTTAAGCCCTCACCCCTTGTTCCTGTCTCCCTTCACGGACTTGGCCCACCATCCCTCCCCCTGATCCTCCACCGTTCCACCTCCCTCCTGAACACTTGTATCATGTTTTAGTGTTGTCGTGGAGCGTCTGGTAGCCGCTCCGTAGAGGGGGGGGGGGGTTATGTCACAGTGTCTGGTTGTGTTCCCTTGTTTATCACTAGAGGTCCTCGTTTTCACGGTGTCCTTCACATTTGACTTCAATTCCCAGCATTCTGTCTGTCACTGTCACTCATCAGTTCATTGCACTCAGCTGTTCCCCGTAATCATTGTTCCCAGCTGTTCTGTGTTAGTCTTGTTAGATATGTGTATATATTCCCTGTCTGTGTTAGTATGTGTACGGAGTCGTTGTTAATGTCTCACACTTCTTGGTTTGTTCCTGCCTGTTCGTTGTTCTTGTTTGGATTGCTTGTATGGTATTTGACCCTTGCCTGGACTGGATTACGTTTCACGGATTACCCAATAAATATCTCACTGCACTTGGATCTACTGTCTCTCTCGTGTGTGTCGTGACATTTATGTGGTAAATATGTTTCCATCATAGTTTATGTGTATGTCTTCTTATCAGATAAACACGATTATCAGATAAGCACATGATTTTTTTGGTGCACATTTTTTGAATTTATGCGCATCTCAGCGTTTCCATCCAGCGTTTTGTATGTGATATCCTAAAATGCACATAAAATAGGTGGATGGGCAACATAGCTACTAGCTAGTGACTGAAATGTTATGTGTCAGGAACCATAAACACACATGGCAATTGGTTTTGTGCTAAATAAAGTGTTTTTGTTACTTTAAAATGTTCACTTTATTTAAAACTGATTATTCTTTGTTCTTCAATAGCATTCTTGCATAAATTTAGATAGTGAGAGGAAATTTGCTGAAATAGGATCCACACAGTTACATCTATCCCCAGCTAGTGTAGTGGGGTAGGTTGTAACAACGGAACTCTTTGTGTTGGACATTATCTCACATAATCTGTGATTGTGTTGTCCATGTCAAAGTGAGTTATATTTGTAGCAGACAAATGTGGCTACCATGTATAAAATTTTAAGAGATATAGCACAAACAACCAATGAGTTGTTTGTCTCAAACAAAAGGTGTTCATTTTAATTCCCAGTCTCCTATTTTTTGTGTTCCCATGTGCTCAAATAGCAAAAGAAAACTCAACAACAGTGTTTTCAAAACTTTCAAATGAGAGAGAGAGAGAGATTGATAACTGCAGTCAGAAGAGAGAAATATGTCAATTTTACCGACCCTCCCACAGCCGGCGTATTAGAAACACACTCAC